CCAAACTCTAAAATATTTTCCGTTTGGGGGGGGCAGGGACGCTCCTCATGCGTGAGTCTAGTGCCCAGGGTTTAGGCTTTAGGGTTTCCCCAAACCCTAAACCCTAAACCCATAAGGGTATAGGTCTTTTCATGTATCTGGTTCCAGCGATGAAAGCCTTGAAGTCCCGGATGTCATGCTCCACGAAGGTGAGGCCCATCTTTTCAAGATATGCCACCTCGGCAGTCTGAGAGGCGCCCAAACCGCTGTTTTGTCGAGCTCTCTCCTTCGCAGCGTCATCACAAAGCTGATCCCAGGGCACCTTTCCTTGGCCTTTGCGTTCTGCAAAATAGAACACATGAAGCTCCTGCCCGAGTTGTGCTGCAAGGTCCACGTTTTGTTTCCATTCCTCGAACCACTGGCAGCCCCAGGGGGCTCTTCCGTCTTTCTCCAAGCAAAGCTGCTGGGCCCTTTCTGCCGCCTCTGCCAGCTGGATCTGCCAGTCTGTCTCTGACTGGTCACTCTTGATTACCAACAGTTGGCCCATGGCTTTGGCATCGCTGCGATGTGTTCCGGCTCCACCTCCACTACACTGAGGTATGTTTCCGCTGGAACGCGGCCGTAGATGCTGTGGCACCAACACGTCCCCGGCGTGTCTGGATTCTCGGAATGCTGTCCAAGGCCCGAATCCGCATCTGTCAAGAAGACGCACGCCAAAGACCACGGCTCCACCCCTGTATCCAAAGCCTGAGACGTCACAGCTGACACAGCTTCGTCCCAGAGGTCACTGTATTTGCCAGGAAAGGACACGACGCACTTGGCAGCCTTCCGGTTTATGTGTCCAGGAAAAGCCACGCGCTTGGACGCAAAGCCAAACCCGGACAGGTCGGCGAGCTGGCGGAAGGCGTACAAAGCTTGGCCGTGAAACTTCGGCCCAAAGCACGGAGCTTAAGATTGGTCATGTGCAATTGCATGATGTTGCATGCGAACTCCCACCAAATCGTTGCTGTGAGACAAACTTGAACAGACACGTGGTAACCAGTCATTTTTTTTTACAAGTATATGGAAACCCCCATCGCCCACGAAAAAGGCCAGCGAGAAGATCGTACGGCGACTCCAGATGTGTAGCAAAGACTGCTCTGAGAATCGGTCGTTCCTGCGAAAGAAGACATACACTCCTAATCCCGTAATCACAGGCCGCAGTACAGCATCACACGTCAGGTACAAATCGTTCCAACCAACCGCGGCGAGATTGGCAACAACTCGCACGAAAGTGTAAGCCGCCAAAGCCAGCTTGGCTGTTTTCCTGACACTCACAGGCTCTGAATGGGCCTCTAGATGCTGGCCCAGCTCCGCCAGCGCTGTCCTTCTGCGCCCGGGCCTCTGCGGCTGCTGCTTTGCAGCTGCACTGGCCACTTGGCTGACACCCCTCAGAGGTAGCTCCAAGCCTTCCCCCGTGGGGTCTGCGGCAGACATGGCTGGAACTTTGACTTGAAATCTTACCTGATCCCTGCAGCATGTGGAGTACGCACCTCCTTGCAGAGAACACCCCGTTCAGATAGATGCTTGTCGTGTTGCAGTACTGCAGTCGGCGCTCTCAGTATAAGGTTGCAGCTTGCCTCGGAACCAGTTGTATTAAAAACCCGAAGCGTCCCCTACTCTGCCTGAGCTCGAGTTTAACAGCCTCCGGCTCGGACAGCCCGACCCTCGTGCGCCCGTGCGCAGTCCGCCTGACACTCCAAAGGCTGCAAGCTTCGACTTTTATTTTAGGGTTCAGGGTTTAGGGTTTAGGGTTTACAGGGTTTAGGGTTTATAGGGTTTAGGGTTTTAGGGTTTTCGGGCTTCTGGACCCAATCGGACTTGTTAGATGAGGTTCTTGGGGCTATTTGGGCCTAAGGGTTATAACCCTAACCTTTTTGTCTCCATAAACCCCATAAAGCCTATGAATCCCTATAACCCCCCTATAAAACCTACAAACCCTCCAAACGCTTCCTGGAGCCCCCAACCTCCAGAGCCTTTGCCGCGCTTGCGCCGTGCGTTTGCTGCAGTGCCTGCGAGGAAGCCCTGAGAGGAACGGGGCCTGGGAACTTGAAGTCCCTTGAAGGGCATGGCGTATATAGGAGTGGAGGGCTTGAGGGGGATTAGGGTTCGGGATTGGTAGGGTTTAGGGTTTAGGATTTTACGGTTGAGGATTTTCATATTCTGGGTTTAGGGACTTAGGACTTTCAGGCTTTAAGGGGGCAAGTCGTCCGAACTCTGGCCTATTTACTTGGGGTAACCTGAAAAAGAAAAGGGGACCGTGCCTTGCAGAAGAGGCCCACAAAGGGACCAGAGTGCACAAACGAGAGAGGCACCTTGAAGATGCCCCAGAACATTCACCCCAAACCCCAAACCCTAAACCCTAAACCCTAAACCCCAAACCCTAAAATTGTGTGCCTGCTGCGCCACAGCATGCTCCTTCTCCTTCTCCAGAGGCGCAGCTGCAACCGGAATCCGCGGATCCAATGAACCCCAAAACTAGGATCATATGTACCCCATGCCACGATCAGCACTGCCGTACTCTCTGTCTGTTTTTGCCCCCAAAACCCTATAAAGCCTAAACCTTAAACCCTGTGGAGGAGAGGGGAGGGGGGGGGGGGGGCAAAAGGGAAAATGCGTGCAGCATGACCCCCCCCCGCGCCTTCATAGCTGCCGCATGTCTCTCCTCCTGAGCCTGGCAGCAGCATGAGACCCTGAATCCATTACGGGGGTTTAGGTTTGAGGGTTTAGGGTTTAGGGCTTACGGTTTAGGGAAGGTACCTGTTTGGGGTCCTTACTATAAGGGAATCCTACTTTTTTGGAGACTATATCAGGGGCCCCTTATTTTCATAAATCCCAATATGACTTTTCAGAACCCCCGAAGACCCAGGAGCCTCTGGAGGTCAGACCAGTGCTAGTGTAGCTCGACCGTGCATGGCAACAAAAGCGCACACAGCTACCTGGCTATCACCAGCTTTGCGTCACATGCCTAGTGACGCCAGCAAATCACGATACATGCTGCAAATCGTATCAGCCCAAAAGGCACTCCTATAGAGGCTCAGCAGGACTGGACATTGGCACTGTGGTGCTTGGGGCACAGAAAGAACCACACGACATGCAACAACACAGCACAAAGCCGCCTAAATCATGTCTGTCTTGCATGTTTTGCACGATCTTTTTGCCCCTTCCTGAAGAAACATCTCAAGCCTGTTATGGGGCAGGTGCCTAAGCAGCTATAAGGGGCTTCATGGTCGTTGCCTACAAAAGGGTTTAGGGTCTAGGGTTTCGGGTTTGGGCTTCATGTTCTCCTTCACCTGAACCCCAAACCCAGAACCTGAGCAGCAACCCAGTCAAACCCTCTGTGTAAAACCCCCTATGGAGCAGTGCAGCCCCGCCTCAACGGCCGCTGCATGCCTCTCTTCCAGTGCCTGTGGGTCGGGGAGGTCCCTTTTCACGAGGGGTTGAGACGCATCAACTCCTAAATTCTAGACGTTACATAAGGGTTCAGGGTTAGGGTTTATAGGGTTTTAAGCCTTGCAGAATACAATCTTGAAGCAACGGATGCTGGAGCTTTTGGGCTGAACCTATACTTATAGTAGCTCTCGAAACCAAATGCCGAAAAAATCTAGAACCATGAAAGCTCAACACCCCAAAATCGTGAAACCTCAAAAAACGCTAAAACGCAAGAAAAAAAAACAACCGTGAAAACCCTTAAAACCCCCAAAAAGGCCTAAAAACCCTAAAGCCAAAACCCTAAAGCTCCTCAGGGCTTGACTTGCAATTGGGAAGTTATAGCCATGCTTGGGAGCCTCTCGCGCAGTCCAATGATCACGTTCCTTCTCCTGCGCCAGGAGGATCCCTCCCTCTTAGGGTTCATTTAGGGTTTAGGGTTTAGGGTTTGGAGGGTTTGGAGGGTTTGGAGGGTTTGGAGGGTTTGGAGGGTTTGGAAGAGTTTGGAGGGTGCGAAGGGTTGAGGGGTGAGGGTTTTTGACCCCGAACTCCGCCCCACCCCGTAAAAGAGCTTTCAGGGCCTGAATCCTACACCCTCAACCCTGCTAAGCCCCAAACTGTTTAAATCCTAACTACCCTCAAACCCCAAACCCGAACTAGGGGAGACCCAAACCCGTAGGTTGCGGGGAGTCTGCCTCGATCTCGGACACGTGTCTCTCTTGCTGCGCCTTCCAGAGATGTGGCACAGGGTTTAGGGTTTGGCGTTTGGACTTCTAGGGTTTACGGTGTTCTCGGACATTGGAGTTCACGGTTTCGGAAGTCTAGGGCTGAATAAAAGGGGTTTAGGACAATAGTGGGGTTTGGGGCTTCGGGGGTTGTGGGGTTGAGGGCTAGCTTTGGCTTTGGGGCACCGGGGGTCAAGGCCTGGTGGGGCTTACCACGGATATCGCCTTTGGCTCAAAATTCGAGGGTTTACGGGTTTCAAGGATTTTAGAGTTTTAAGGCTGTTTGGCTTTAGGCTTTTGGGGTTTTAGGGTATGGGGTCTGTGGGTTTAGGGTTTATAAACACCCCAATACTTGTCCATAGGCAGAAGTGTAAGGTTGTTCCTTCATGGCCTTTTTTCTGTGAGGAGATATGCAACAAAAGAAGTGGCCCTCAGACTCATCCTGACCCAAGAGTACCCTAGGACATCCGGTCGCTTGGGGCTCGCCCCGACACTCAACAGCAAAAACTTAAAAACCTTAACGTCCCAAAACCCTAAATCGCCTAAACCTAAAATAACTTCAAGCTGCCCTAAAACAGCCTAAGGCCTTTAACATCCCCATCCCCACTAAAGCCCCCGACAAAACAAGGAACACTCCTCAACCTCCCCACGCGCTGCCCGTAACCACTACACACCCTTGGAGCTCGTAAACTCATCATCTATACCCTGAAACAGCGAAAAGGGCCTTGAAACCTTAACATCCCAAAACCCTAAAACCCTAAACCCTATAAATACCCGAAGCTGCCCTAAGACACTCTGCAAGCCCTACAAACCCTACAATAACCCGGACGTACTCTAAACACTACTACTCAATGCTGTCATTTGAGGACCACGACCTCTAGACTCAAGGCATGTACCTTTTAAACCTTTGCTCAGAAATTGATGGTCTTGTCCCCAACTCCCACAGGCGTGTAGGTCTTTTCATTTATCTGGCTCCAGCGATGAAAGCCTTGAAGTCCCGGATGTCATGCTCCACGAAGGTGAGGCCCATCTTTTCAAGATATGCCACCTCGGCAGTCTGAGAGGCGCCCAAACCGCTGCTTTGTCGAGCTCTCTCCTTCGCAGCTTCATCACAAAGCTGATCCCAGGGCACCTTTCCTTGGCCTTTGCGTTCTTCAAAATAGAACACATGAAGCTCCTGCCCGAGTTGTGCTGCAAGGTCCACGTTTTGTTTCCATTCCTCGAACCACTGGCACCCCCAGGGGGCTCTTCCGTCTTTCTCCAAGCAAAGCTGCTGGGCCCTCTCTGTAGCCTCTGCAAGCTCGATCTGCCACTCTGTCTCTGACTGGTCACTCTTGATGACCAACAATTGGCCCATGGCTTTAGCATCGCTGCGCTTGAAAGAAAGCATCTGCCGGTTGGCTTGACTGTCAATGTGCTCCGGATCCACCTCCACTACGCTGAGATATGTTTCGGCTGGAACGCGGCCGTAGATGCTGTGGCACCAACACTTCCCCGGCGTGTCTGGATTCTCGGAATGTTGTCCAAGGCCCGAATCGGCATCCGTCAAGAAGACGCACGCCAAAGACCACTGCTCCCCCCTTGTATCCACGGCCTGAGACGTCACGGCCGACACAGCTTCGTCCCAGAGGTCACTGTATTTGCCAGGAAAGGACACGACGCACTTGGCAGCCTTCCGGTTTATGTGTCCAGGAAAAACCACGCGCTTGGATGCAAAGCCAAATCCAGACAGGTCTGCGAGCTGGCGGAAGGCGTCCATGGGACGATTCCATTTCTTGGGCCCGACCATCCCGCTCAGTGCCAGGATATTGCAGATTTGAAAGAATAGATCAGGAGTCAGCCAGCTCACCGTCGCCGATTCTTCGGTGTTCTCCAAGAAATGAGTTGTCATCTGCGCATAAGTGGACCAAGACCAAAGGCTCAGAGCAGGTCCTAGAATCACCAGGAGCGCATTTCCAAAGAGGACGAATGCCATGGACCTGACTGCCTCATCGACACCACGAGCCCGCCAAGCTGCACACGCCACAATGCACAGGCTACAGCACTGGGTGAACAAAGTCGCGAAGCAGAAGAGGAGGCTCAGGCTTACCAGGAACCCTGCAAACATATCAACAACATTGCCACATATGTAAGCGTCGCATGCAAATCTGAATGCATAGCTAATCAAGGCCACCAGCATGGAACTGAAGCCTGTTAGGGCCACTATATGACAAAGCTTGGCTGTGAAACTTCGGCCCAGTGCACGGAGCTTCAGATTGGTCAAGTGTACTTGCATGATATTGCATACAATCTCCCACACAAGTGTCCCTCCGATACAAACACCATTCGCCACATCATATTTGAAAAGAGAATTGGACAACCCGCGGAATCCTGCGTCGCCCACGAAAAGGGCCAGCCAAAAGATCGTGCGGCGACTCCAGATGTGTAGCGAAGACTTCTCTGAGAATCGGTCGTTTCTGCGAAGGAAGAAAAACACTCCTAATCCCGTTATCACAGGCCGCAGTACAGCATCACATGTCAAGTACAAATCGTCCCAACCATCTGCGGCGAGATTGGCAACCACTCGCAGTAAAGTGTAAGCCGCCAGAGCCAGTTTGGCTGTTTTCCTGACACTCGCCTTAGTTGCTGAGTTCATAACCCCCCCCCCCCCCCCCTAAAAAAAGCAAATAAAAAAAACAAAAAAAGGTGTACACTTTCAGTCCTATAGGAGATGATCGTCTCCCATAAAGTGTAAAGTGTACTCATTCAGCCACAAAGTCACTGGCTCTGAGTGGGTCTCGAGACGCTCGCCCAGCTCTGCCAACGTTGTCCTTCTGCGCCCTGGCCTTTGCAGCTGATGCTTTGCAGCCGCACCGGCCACGTGGCTGGTACGCCTCAGTGGCAGCTCCAAGCCTTCCCCCGTGGGGTCTGCGGCAGACATGGCTTTTGCTACGGGAGCTTGAAAACTTTGACACACCCCCCTTCCCGAAACTTACTTGATCCCTGCAGCATGTGGATTCCGCACCTCCCGAAACCAGTTCCCCGACTCTGCCCGGCTTGAGCTTAACAGCCTGCGGCTCGGACAGCCCGAGCCTCGTCCTCTGCAGTCCACGGGCAATAAAACAGGTCAAACCCGACTCTCCCAAAAATCTGAGGACTCTCAATCTAGGGTTTTCTGGGCTCAATCGGCCTTCTTGTGAAAGGCTCTTGGGTCTGTTGTGGGCATAGGGTCTGTAAGGGCACACCCTTTCACCCCAACCTCCAGAGCCTTTGCCGCGCTTGCGCGGTGCGTTTGCTGCAGTGCCTGCGAGGAAGCGAGCAAGCCCTTTAGAGGGGCGGGCCGGGGATTGACTCTTGCAGGGCTTGGCGCATAGGAGTTCAGGCTTTAAGCGGTGTCAGGGTTTAGGGTTTAGGATTTTAAGATTTTAGGATTCAAGGTTGAGGGACTTAGGACGTTTTGGTCCTCAGGCTTCATGGGGGCAAGTCGTCTGAACTCTGGCCTATTTACTTTGGGGTAACCTAAAAAAGAAGGGGGGCCGCGCCGTACAGCAGAGGCCCACAAAGGGATCGAGGGTGCACAAACGAGAGAAGAAGCTTGAAGAAGCCCCCGAACATTCACCCTAAACCCTAAATCCTAAACCCTAAACCCTAAACCCTAAACCCTGAACCCCAAACCCTCAAGGTGCGCCTGCTGCGCCACTGCATGCTCCTTCTCCTTCTCCTGAGAACTCTGCTGCAAACCCGAATCAGCGGATCATGCCTGGGAAGACAAACGAACCCCAAACCTAGAAACCTAGGATCATATGCACCCCGTGCCACGATCATCACTGCCATACTCTCCCTCCTTGCTGTCTGTTTTTGCCCCTAAGCCCTAAACCCTAAACCCTAAACCCTAAACCCTAAACCCTAAACCCTCTAGAAGAGGGCGGGGGGGGGGGAGAATGGTGCATCAGGATTCCCCGCGCCTGCATGGCCGCGGCATGCCTCTCCTCCTGAGCCTGGCAGCAGGACGAGACCCTGGACCCTGAACCCATTACGGGGGGTTTGGGTTTAGGGTTTAGGGTTTAGGGTTTAGGGTTTAGGGTTTAGGGTTTAGGGTTTAGGGTTTAGGGTTTAGGGTTTAGGGTTTAGGGTTTAGGGGGGTTTAGGGTTTAGGGTTTAGGGTTTAGGGGGGGTTTGGGGTTTGGGGTTTGGGGTTTGGGGTTTGGGGTTTGGGGTTTGGGGTTTGGGGTTTGGGGTTTGGGGTTTGGGGTTTGGGGTTTGGGGTTTAGGGTTTAGGGCTTAGGGGGGTTTCCGAAATTAGGGCTTCCTTTTGGTGTCCTTACTGTCAGGGAATCCTACTATTTGGGGTCCCTTATTTTTGTAAACCCCCCCCATATGACTTTTCAAGACCCCCCCAAGACCAAGGAGCCCCTGGAAGCTAATGCGCACGTGGCTATCACCCGCTTTGTGTCACATGCTTCCCATCCGCCAAATGCATCGCATGCTCATGGCTAGGGCCTCGGTTTAGGGTTTAGGGTTTAGGGTTTAGGGTTTAGGGAGCGGCTAGGGACGCCAGCAAGTCACGATGCGTGCCGCAAATCGTATCCACCCAAACGGCACTCCTATAGAAGCTCAGCAGGACTGGACATTTGGCACGGTGGTGCTTAGGGCAAAGAACCGCACGCCATGCACATATCACTTGCCTATTTCACACGATCTCTATGCCCCTTCCTGAAGAAAATTCCCCAGCATGAGCAGCGAAAAGGGGCTTCATGGTCGTTGCCTACAAAAGGTTTAGTTTTTAGGGTTTCGGGCTTAATCTTCTCCTCCACCTGAACCCAAAACCCTGAACCTGAGCAGCAACCCAGGCAACCCTTTGTAAGCCGCTAACCCTAAACCCTAAACCCTAAACCCTATAAACCCTATAAACCCTATAAACCCTATAAACCCTAAACCCTTGTGCAGAAGTGCAGCCCCCACCTCAACGGCTGATGCATGCCTCTCTTCCAGAGCCTGTGGGTTGGGAAGGTCCCTTTCACGATGGGTCGAGGGGGTTAAGACGCATCGACTCCTAAATTCTAAACGCCAAGGGTTCAGGGTTCAGGGTTCAGGATTCAGGGTTTAGGGTTTAGGGTTTAGGGTTTAGGGTTTTTGGTATTCCTTAATGCTAGGCCCGAAGCCTTGCACATTACGCCCCGCGCCCCCACCCCCCCACCCTTGCCGCTCGAGACCTTCATCCTGAAGTCCTGAAATCTCAAACCCTCAAAGCCTCAAAAGCCCTAACGCCTCAAAACCCTAAGGCCCTCAAACCCTAAACCCTAAACCCTATACACCCTTTCAACCCTATCAACCCTATCAACCCTATCAACCCTATCAACCCTATCAACCCTAAACCCTATACACCCTATCAACCCTATCAACCCTAAACCCCAAAACAAACTCCTCAGGGTTCGACTTGTAACAGGCAAGCCGTGGGCGCCTCTCGCGCAGTCCAATGGTCACGCTCCTTCTCCTGCGTGACATCATGAGACTCTCTACCTTGTACCCTTGGGCCCGTTTTGAAGGCCCTCTAAACCCCTAAACCCGTAAACCCGTAAACCCGTAAACCCGTAAACCCCTAAACCCCTAAGCCCCTAAACCCCTAAACCCCTAACCCCCTAAGCCCCTAAACCCCTAAACCCCTAAACCCCTAAGCCCCTAAACCCCTAAGCCCCTGAACCCCTAAACCCCTAAGCCCTCTAACCCTCAGGGCCCATGTAACCAGATTCTTATATACTTTGAGCCGCAAAGTCCTTTTTGTCGGAAGCACTTTAAGGCTCGAGTAGTCACCATTTAGCCCTTGAGCCCTTGAGGTTTAGGAGACCCTTGTTTAGGTTCTATATAAGGGAATGTAAGGGCCATACTAGGAGTACGTTAAGGGAACCTCTTAGGGGTACATCCTCAAAAAGGCCAGGTTTGACTCCCTTGGCGTGAGGAGGATCCCTCTGAGGGTTTTAGCAATTAGAGGAGAGGGCCATAGAGGTATAGGGTTTACGGGGTTTACAGAGATATCGGGCTTAGGGCTTCGGACGTGAAGAGTTGCGAGGTGAGGGGTTAAACCCTGAAGTTCGAAGACCCGCAACATCCACCGAACATGCGATTCGGAGATTTTCCCCCCAACCCCCCCCCCTCCACCGCCCCTGAGTAAAAAAAGAACTATAAGGGTGTTAACCCTGAACCCGCTAAGCCCTGAACTGGAGAAAAAACCGAAAAACCCTAACCCCAAACCCCAACTAGGGGAGACCCCTTTTCAATTTTATTTGTAAATAATTAGTTTAGTGTTTTTTAAATAGAATTTAATAATTTAATATAAATTCAATAAATTATAAACACCCCGTACCGCAGCACTGTGGTCTGCCTCGATCTCGGAGGCGTGTCTCTCTTGCTGCGCCTTTGAGAGATGCGGCACAGGGTTTTAGTGATGCGGGCTTAGGGTTCTAGGATTTGAGGGTGTGGGTTTAGGGTTTAGGGTTTAGGGTTTGTAGGGTTTAGGGTTTGTAGGGTTTAGGGTTTAGGGTTTAGGGAAAGCTGAGGGCTGGGTAGGGTGTAGAACTCTTGAGGGCTTCTGTTGGCACCGGGCACCAGGGCTTGGTAAGGGGCTTACCAACGTCCCTCGACAGAAGATTTTAGGGCTTGGGGTTTAAGGTATAGGGTTTAGGGTATAGGGTTTAGGGTTTAAGGTTTAGGGTTTAAGGTGAAGAGTTTGGGGAAAATCTACGAACCTTATGCAGTTTGGAGTTTTTCAAGCGCTGTGGAAGAGAGACGTTCTTCTGATTCAGATTCAAATGGGGCGTGGTCACAGTAGCGTCCTGAAGGGGTATTCGGCTTTCTGTGAAGTTATATCAAAAAACAAGTGGCCCTCAGACTCTTGACCCAAGGGTCCATGTACCCATAAGGTACTTGGGCCCTAAAGCTACTAAAATAGGAACCCCTTCAAGGCCCGAGTATATACCGTAGAGGTACATGGACCTTTTGGGATGTAGGAAAGGTACAAGAGGACAAAGACAGATCTGGTCGCTGCCGGTGGCTTAGGACGGCTTAGGATTTAGGGTTTAGGGTTTAGGGTTTGGGGTTTACGGTTTAGGGTTTAGGGTTTGGGACGCTAAGGCAGCTAAGGTTTTTGTGGGTTTTGTTGCTGTTGAGGGTTGCATCCTCAATGCAAGCGTGTGCCATGGGGAGCTATACCCTATAGACCCTAAATCTCCCAAGCGCTGCCCTAGACCCTAATAAACCCCAAACCCTAGTCCCTGAACAGCCCTCAGCCCGCAGCAACAACACAAAAAGCAAACTACGGAGCCCGCTGCCCCTGAACCTCCTTGTAAAACTCTCGATTAGAGGGGTGGCCCTTTCACCCCTTATCCAAAAAATGCCTTCGGACACCATGCATAAGCCTTACAAGACTCATGAAGCCCTGCAGACACTACACTAAACCGCACGCACCCTCAACGCAGGTCCCTTCATTTTTCCAGCTCCGGCCATGAAAGCCTTGAAGTCTCGGATGTCATGCTCCACGAAGGTGAGGCCCATCCTTTCAAGATATGCCACTTCAGCAGTCTGAGAGGCGCCCAAGCCGCTGTTCTGCCGAGCTCTCTCCTTCACAGCTTCATCACAAAGCTGATCCTAGGGCACCTTTCCTTGGCCTTTGCGTTCCGCAAAATAGAACACATGAAGCTCCTGCCCGAGTTTCGCTGCAAGATCCACGTTCTGTTTCCATTCCTCGAACCACTGGCACCCCCAGGGGGCTCTTCCGTCTTTCTCCAAGCAAAGCTGCTTCTGCCTGTTGGCTTGACTGTCAATGTGCTCCGGATCCACCTCCACTACACTGAGATATGTTTCGGCTGGAACGCGGCCGTAGATGCTGTGGCACCAACACGTCCCCGGTGTGTCTGGATTCTCGGAATGTTGTCCAAGCCCCGAGTCGGCGTCTGTCAAGAAGACGCACGCCAAAGACCACGGCTCCACCCCTGTATCCACGGCCTGAGACGTCACAGCTGACACAGCTTCGTCCCAGAGGTCACTGTACTTGCCAGGGAAGGACACGACGCACTTGGCAGATGTCTGGTTTATGTGTCCAGGAAAAGCTACGCGCTTGGACGCGAAGCCAAATCCAGACAGGTCTGCGAGCCGCCGGAAGGCGTCCATGGGGCGATTCCATTGCTTTGGGCCGAGCATCCCGCTCAGCATCAAGGTATTGCAGATTTGAACGAAGATGTCAAGAGTCAGCCATGTCGCTACTTTCCATGTATTGTCATTCGAGTCATACTGGTGATGTGCGTAAACAAAGTAAGCCCCCAAACTCAAAGCCGGTCCGAGAATAACCAGAAACGCATTCCCCAGGAGGAACAGTGCAGTGGATCTGACAGCCTGGTCATCACCAAGAGCCCGTAGAGCTCTACACGCCACCTTAGTAGCCCAGCAACCAGATTCTTACTAGGGCACCCCTTCTTTTTCGTTGGTTGCTTCATAAGGGAAACCCAGAGCCCAAAAAAGGGTAAAGGGTACCACCGGGCGACCCAGCCGCAATGCACAGGCTGCAACACTGGGTGAGCAAAGTCACGAAGCAGCACATGAGGCCCAGCAACACAAACCGGTTAGCTCTGTCGGGATCCAAACCCATCATGATGGTAACAGACTCAAGCACCGTGGAAACGAGGCCGATCGCCGCCAGGAAGTGACAAAACTTGGCCGTGAAACTTAGGCCCAAAGCACGGAGCTTGAGATTTGTCATGTGTACTTGCATGCAGTTGCAGGCAATCTCCCACAGCAGCGTACCTGCGTTGCAGATCAAGTCCATTGTCCAGAGGTCATGATGGTAGAAGGCGAGCACCAACGCACGGAAACCTTCATCACCGATGAAAAAGGCAAGAGAAAAGATCGTACGGCGACTCCAGATGTGTAACAACGACTTCTCTGAGAATCGGTCGTTCCTGCGAAGGAAGAAAAACACTCCGAATCCTGTTATCACAGGCCGCAGTACGGCATCACACGTCAGGTACAGATCATCCCACGGGTTCCAGTTCACGTACAGATCATCCCAGGCAAACGCGGCGAGATTGGCAACCACCCGCGCGAAAGTGTAAGCCGCCAGAGCCCGTTTTGCCGTATTCGTGACACTCGCTGGCTCTGAGAGGGTCTCTAGATGCTCGCCCAGCTCTGCCAGCGTTGTCCTTCTGCGCCCTGGCCTCTGTGGCTGCTGCTTTGCAGCCGCCCTGGCCACGTGGCTGCCACCCCTCAGAGACAGCTCCAAGCCTTCCCCCGCCAAATCTCTCGCAGACATGGCTTTTGTATGCTTTTGTTACGGGACCTTGTCAAGAAGCAGCATCAAAAAGCAAGTCACCAGCCTTTCGCGTTGCGGTATTGCTGTCGGCAAGCAGTATAAGGTTGCAGCTTGCCTCGCAACCGGCTTATTGAACCCGGGCGTCCCATTTTGGAAGCTCTTTTGACTTGGCAAGTAGGGTTAGTGCGGGGAGTTATGGGGATGATCGTCGGGTTCTAGGGGAGAAGTACCATGTAGACTTACTATGAGGCAACAAGCAGCTTCCAAGCAGACTCTTCCGAGCTTGAGATTCACAGCCCACGGCTTCGAGGGTGCCTCGTCCTCTGAAGTCCACGGGAGAAAAGGCAAAACCTGACTCTTTCAAAGGCAGTCAGCTTGTAAATTCCAACGATAAAAACTCCAAATCCAAAAAACAAAAAAACTAGCCCTTCCAGGGGCCAACGAAGCCCTAACAAAAACACACCAAGTTGCTGAGTACCCTGGGCCAAACAAGGTTACCCTTTCAATGGTGGTAGGATTTATCTACCTCAAAAGGTTAAAGGTTACCTAAACCTTAAACCCAAAACCCCTGAACCCTGAACCCTAAACCCTAAACCCTAAACTCTAAACCGCCCAAACCCTAAACCCTACTCAGCTTCTAGGTGCAGAAGTAAGGCCGTGGGCACCGCAGACCCTAAAATCAAGGGTCCTCGGAACTTAAACCCGAAACGCTAAAGCCCTTAAACCCCAGGCCCTTACCCTTGAGGTTTTTAGGGCCTTAGACCCTTAAGCCCGAAACCCTGAAACCGTAAACCCTTAAACCCTCATTACTTGACCTAGGAATAACCCAGAAATGAAAAAGGGTGCCCCTTTTGTTGACAATCATTTGTAAGAGAACCTAACCCTAAACAAAAAAAAACAAGGGCCTATTCTGGGTCCCAGTTAGGGGTCCAAACCCAATAACCCTTGTCGGGCTTCAGGGTTGGAGGGTGAAGGGCAGGTATCTCAGGATAGTTACATGCTTTATAGGGTCCTTTACCTCCAATAAATGGTTCTGATGTATGGGCCCTTAATTTGTAAAAAAGGGTGTATAAAGTGGTATCTACGGGGTACCCTTTTAAGGGCCCATACCAAGGGACCATGTAACTACCCGCGCTAACCGTAAACCCTAAACCCTAAACCCTAAACCCAAAACCCTGAAGCCCCTTGCAAGCCACCTCCAGAGCCTTTGCCGCGCTTGCGCCGCGCTGTTGCTGCAGTGCCTGTCTAGGGTTTCGGATGGAGGGTTTAGGGTTTCGGGTTGAGGGTTTAGGGTTTAGGGTTTCGGGCTTAGGGTTGGGGGACTCGAGTCTTCGGCCTTGTAGGGCTGGCCGTATAGAGATCAGGGTTTAGGGATTAAGGTTTCTTTTTTTTTTCGGAGGGGGGACGGGTTACGCAGAGTTTAAGACAAGTTGTCTGAGTTCGGGTTGCTTTTTCTTGTGTGACCTGCGTAGAACTGCAGGGCGTGCTGTAGCAGAGTGCCGCAGAAGAGCCAGGAAGAAAGGACTCCGTACAGTGTCTATGGTGGGGCCCCTAACCCCTAAACCCTAAACCCTAGACTCCTAAACCCTAGATGCCTAAACCCTATATCATAGAAGATCCCCTACTGTGCCCCATTACCTTCACCCCCCTTTTGAGCCGGCCTTCATTCGGGGGACCTTGATCCCTAACCTCCTTGAACTCCTAAACCAGTCCTAATCTCCTTTATCTTAAAGTAGGTACACGGTCCCTGGGTATACATGCCCTATACAACCTAAGGGCCCATACTGCAGAACCCTTAAAAGGAGGTGAGGGACCACAATGAGGCCTCATGTAGCTACTCTTAGGATCTAGAACTTACCGAATTCCGAAGCCGTTTCAGGGTCGTGTCCGAAACCACAAGCACCAGTCCAAAGTTGCAGGGACAGTTCTTCGAAAATCACGGTCCCTTTTTGGGTACACGGGTTCTCCAAAAGACTCCGTAGTATACTAGAATTTCAGCGAAACTGATCACATGGACCTAGATAGAACGGGCCCAAAGAGGCCCGAAACACATTGCACTGATGCCATGCCTCTCGCAAGGTGGCGTGCTGCCGCTCCTTCTCCTGATGTATGAGAATTGATATGCGAAGCATGGGCCACGCGTGCAATACTGTGATACAGGGCAGCGAAAATCATAGATAGAACCTATAAACCCTAAACCCTAAACCCTAAACCCTGAACCCTAAACCCTTTGATAAAGCCCAAGAGCGACTCTGCGGTGTCTACTGCTTCTTTCAGGAAGCTCCTGCCACTCCACTTAGAGCCTAGGAAGGAACTGCACAAACAGAACCCTAAACCCTAAACCCTAAACCCTAAATCCTAAACCCTAAACCCTAAACCCCAGGAACAAAAAGAATGAGCCATAAAAACTCAAGAATATCAAGGCCGGGGCTGAGGGGACCCGAGGCGGGGGGGCGGGGGGGGGGGGGGACACACCACAGGAGAAGCGGGGGGACGGGGGCGGAGGGAGTCGGGGGCACCTCTTACAACTCTAGTATGTTGCACCGTGTGTTTGGGATCAGGATTCTAGTAGGTTGGTGCGTTGGGGGGGTAGCATATTCACGTGACACCCCTCCATTCTGGGCAAAGGCCGGAATCAAGGCCTCCAACGTCGTGGCGTGCTTTGCCGCCTGTTCCTTGAAGCACCAGGACGGTTTAGGGTTTAGACCCGGGAGTAACCTAGGAATAAACAGGGTACCCTTTTTGGTTGAAAGGGGACCCTAAAACAAAGAAATGAGGGCCTACTCCGGGTCCTAAGTTTCGGGGTTGGGGTTTACGGCTGAGATATTTGGGGGCGTCCGGGCGCCTGCAGCGACAGACGGACGCGTCCCATACGTGCTTCGGGTTTCGGTGTGGGCATTCCCGAAAATAGAGGTAATCCTCTCATACCCCAAAATAATTTGCCCAAATAGAATAAAAATCTCGTCAAAAGGACCCCCAAAAAGGGCACCCCCTATTTTTCGGAAACCGCCGTGTAGAGTTTCAGGTTAACTAGCTTGCCCAGTAACCTAGGATGAAAAAGGGTGCCCTTTTTTGCTTAAAGGAGTCTATAAGGGAACCTAAACCTACCAAAAAGGGAAAAGGGTACTACTGGGCATCCTAGTTAACGAGCGCATCATGACTTTGAGAACAGCTGCAGGAAGTCTCTCGTAGGTCCGGGCTCTGAGCTCGAGCTTCTGAGACCCTAAGCCCTAAACCCTAAACCCTAAACCCTAAACCCTAAACCCTAAATCCGACTTCTAAGGCATCCTCACACCTGCTTGGAACTAACACGGGGAGAACTGGGGTTGAAAGTACAGCTATATTTGGGGTTACTATGTACCACGAGCCTCCAAGTAGACCTCAAACAGGGTTTAGGGTTTAGGGTTTAGGGTTTAGGGTTTAGGGTTTAGGGTTTAGGGTTTCAGACCCCTACGACGTAGGAACCCTTCAAGCCACAAAGACCCCCGAAAACACAGGGGGAGTCAAACTCTAAAGCCCTGGGGACCTTGAAAGTCCTACGCCTAAACCCTAAACCCGAAACCCTAAACCCTAAACCCTAAACCCTAAACCCTAAACCCTAATGCAGCAACAATGGCCTCCAGGATGGCAGCAGCGGAGTTCTGGTACTGGACGGCCTGCGTGGGTTTTGGGGTTTTGGGGTTTTGGGGTTTTGGGGTTTTGGGGTTTTGGGGTTTTGGGGGTTTGGGGGTTTGGGGTTTTGGGGTTTTGGGGGTTTGGAGTTTTGGGGGTTTGGGGTTTTGGGGGTTTGGGGGTTTGGTCTGGGGCTTTGGGGGTTTCGGGAAGGTTTCGGGGTCTAGAAGCAACTTCGGGGTTCACTAGTTAAGGATTCGGTTTGTGGGCTTTAAGAATTTGACCTGCCTAGGGGTTTTAAGGGGTTTTAAGGCTTAGGGGAGTTGAAGGTTCATGGGCAGTTTCGTGTTGCGGGCTTGGGGTTTTGGGGCCTCGGGGGCTCCAGGAGTTTAAGCTTTAGGGTTGTAAGTTGCAAGGGATATAGGTCTAGAGCATATAGCAAAATTTGGCGGGTTAAGGCTTTGGGGGATCAAGGTTTCAACGTCAAGTTTAAGATTGAGAACTTGCATTCCACGTGGACGTTCGACTTATTTTAGGGCTTTGAAGGGTGCGAATAGGGGCCTAAGCAATGAGAACGTGTAATGTCGACAACTTGGCCTCTGCCCAGGCGTTTCTGGGGGGATGCCTCAAAGTTCTTCAGTGTAGGGCACTTGAGGCTCTAGGTACACAAATGCACGCCTGGGTACGCATTTAGGGTTAAGGGTTTGGTGTAAGGTTTAGGGAAAATGCCCGAGACGCTTTGTAGACTGACCGGGCATTTGTGCAAGAGCCCGGGCACTGCCGACCCGAATTGTTGACAAAGCTCTTTGGCCCTTCCTTGGCATCCAGAACCTACATGTGCTAGATTATGCGACTATAAACCCTAAACCCTAAACCCTAAACCCTGACCCCTAACCCCTAAACCCTAAACCCTAACCCCTAACCCCTAACCCCTAACCCCTAAACCCCCTAAACCCCCTAAACCCCCTAAACCCCCTAAACCCCCTAAACCCCCTAAACCCCCTAAACCCCCCCCCTAAACCCCCTAAACCCCCTAAACCCCTAAACCCCCTAAACCCCTAAACCCCCTAAACCCTAAACCCCCTAACCCCCTAAACCCCCTAAACCCCCTAAACCCCCTAAACCCCCTAACCCCCTAAACCCCCTAAACCCCCTAAACCCTAAACCCTAAACCCTAAACCCTAAACCCTAAACCCTAACCCTAAACCCTTAAAAATGGCAACCTGCAAGACCAGAGGCTTTTGGCTCTACAGGTTCATGACGTCTTTAGAGGTTCATCTTTGGAGATTCATGGGTGCGTCTAAGTAAGGCTACAAGTAGGCTAACTGCTAACTACCCGAAGGGTCCATGGGAAGGCCCAACTATACACCATATAACCCTAAACCCTAAACCCTAAACCCTAAACCCTAAACCCTAAACCCTAAACCCTAAACCCTAAACCCGTTAGCTATGACTATGCCAAGCAACGGAGTGAAACCATCAATCACACACTCTGTAGCGCCGCCACGGGACATCGCTTGCTGGTGGCAGACCACAGGAGTGAATGCTCCAAGCCTCGAGATCTCCACCTCGAACTGTTCAATGTCTAGGGTTTAGGGTTTAGGGTTTAGGGTTTAGGGTTTAGGGTTTAGGGTTTAGGGTTTAGGGTTTAGGGTTTAGGGTTTAGGGCAATCCATGGTTCAGGGCTTGCAAGGTTTAGGGCTGGAGTGCACTGTTGTGTCGGCAAAACAGAACCAGAAATGAGATCAATACTTAGCCCCATGCGCGCAAGAGCTGAAAACTCACAATTTATTAGGTTGTTGTTCGTTTAGGGTTTAGGGTTTAGGGTTTAGAGTTTAGGGTTTAGGGTTTAGGGTTTAGGCTTCAGGGTTAAACTATCCAGCCCTGGCACTCACATCACGAAGGCCGTAGAAGCCCGCATCCTTGCCTGGAATGTGCCACGCGTAGCCACCTTGGATTGATGCAGATGGGAGGTCCAGAAAAAAACGCACACACACACAAAACACATCAGATTTAGACTAGACTCTACTATGACATAAAAGCAGCTGCTCAACTCAACTCGCTCAACTCAATTCTACTACTTGCTTCAACAGTATGCACTGTACTTGTCCCTTTTTTGAATAGTAGGAAGCAGAGGCAGAAGCAGAAGCAGAAGCAGAAGCAGCAGAAGCAGCAGCAGCAGCAGCAGCAGCAGCAGCAGCAGCAGCAGCAGCAGCAGCAGCAGCAGCAGCAGCAGCAGCAGCAGCAGCAGCAACCCCCCGAAGACTCCAATGTATATTTTGGGGGGCCCGTTATGGTTTTCCATTAAGGGTTATGGTACACGACCCACAAAGGAACTACATTCGAGGCTTCAGGCAACCATCAACCTTCAGCTCAAACCCTGCTATGAAGCCTGGCAACTCGTGTACACCCACGGGGTTCCATGCAATGCTTGTCCATCGGGCTCTCTCCAAGCGGACCACCAACTGCCTTCCGGCCACTCGCCATAGATGTCCTGCAAGTTATGGTTGAAAGGTGTAAATGCTAAAGCTCAAATAGTCAAGCCTAAACCCTAAACCCTAAATCCTAAACCCTAAACCCTAAACCCTAAACCCTAAACCTTAAAACCTAAACCCTAAACCCTAAACCCTAAACCCTAAACCCTAAACCCTAAAACCCTAAACCCTAACACCTCCCACCCTGTCCCTAAAGCCCAATTGCGTGGATTTACATTCTGGCGCCATCCCTGGCCTGCTTTTCGGCACAGTTGCCCGCCTTTTAGGGTTTAGGGTTTAGGATTTAGGATTTAGGGTTTAGGGTTCTCATAAGCCTCACTACCCTGCCTTGGGGCAACGCTCCGACACAATTGCCCGCCAGAGCCTCCTTGACCTGCTTACTCTGGCAACATTCCGGTACAGTGTTGTTGCGCCGCCTGCTTATGAAAACGACATCCGGATGCGGTTGCCCACCTGAATCTCCCTTGGCCTGCTTATTCAGCATTCTGGCGCAATGGCATGGCTGTGTCTCAGCCTCCTTGACCTGCTTGCTAAGGCAACACCGCGGTCCAGGAGCCCGCCTGAGTTGCCCTGCTTGCGAAAACGACATTTCGGTACGGTTGCCTATACCTTGCCTACTCGCTAAGGCAACATTGCCGTACAATTGCCCGCCGCCCTTCACTCTAACCCTGAGGCTCGGAACAGCGCGAAAACCACGTATAGCAAGGCCTTTGCATCCAAAATCCTTCAACTAAGAGTAGTTGATGCCCTTTGGGCATAAAACTAACAAGCCACTACTCCTCACATGAAATCCTTACAACCAAACCCCTGTCCCTGGGGCGTTTTTTGCCGGGAACACCGGAATCGAAGTCGCCGATCAAGAACCAGCCGTCCAGTCCGGAGAACAACATGTCAGCTGTAAAGTTTGGGGCGAAGCCAAAGTATGACTCGAAAGCACTTGCCTAGAACGGGTGCTGAAACTTCGGAACATTATATGAGTTGAAGTTGTGTTCTCCATAACTTGCCACAACAAGGAAGCAAGTATTGCTACGTTCCAATCTCCCAGCACGAGTGGCATTTGCACTTGATACTGTCAAGAACGTGCCGGCGTCGAGCGCCGTAGCTTCTGGTGCGTCGAGCTGGCACAGGAAGGTGTCCCTAAACTTGAACCTTAGTAGCCCAGAAACCATATTTGCACTACGTAGTCACTACGGGTACCCTCATTCGGGGGCTGACTTGGGTACATTTTCAACAGAACCCAGAAGCCCTTATAAGCCCTAAACCCTAAACCCGAAACACCAAAAGGGCAAAAGGACACCACTCAGCTGCCAAGGAACTGACCCAGGCTCGGACTGAAGAGCCACCAAGAGCAAATCTCGTACCTGGCCTTGGTAGCCCAGGAACCATATGGGGGCTTACAAAATTAGGGGTACCTTATTGGGGTCCTTTACGATGAGGGGATCCTACTAGTTGGGGTCTATGCTACCAAGTAACGAAAGAGCTGATCAGGTACACTTCTAGGCCCGCGGGAGCTCCTGGCGCGCCCTCAGCAGCGGCGACCGTGGAGATGATCATCTTGGTGTCAAAAGTCGCATTTACACACGGCGTTGTGCTTGTTGTCGAGGTTGTCGTTCCGTAGCCATGGTAGTAGTAATACTGGCCGTGCTTGCGGTAGCGGTGACGACGTTTGCGTCTCCAATCGCTCCTAGCTTGGATCAGAGAGGGCCCGTCATCTTCTTTGCTGCACCTGGGCTACAGGTTTTGGGCCCCCCCCCTCCGCCACCGCCCCTCGAACAAAAAGTAGGGCTTTCGGCATTGATGAGTGGGACTACTTTCGCAGTGACCCCCCATAGGTTTCTGCTTTAGGACGCTTTGGGCTGACGGTTTGGAAGCTTAAGGCTTCGAACCCTTGTATCTATGCTTCTAGAACTCCCAACCCAAACTTCAGGGCTCTGGTTTGAAAAAAGGTGTGATGTAGGTGTCGGAATAATTACTAACGGCATTCCCTTATCGTTCCAATGGAGCTATACTAGAATCACCCCACAACCCTGGGCCCCTATAGTATCTATCTGATGAAGCTGGCACTTCATTGCACGTGCCTTGCATGTGCTGAGGTTTGGTCTTGCCCTCCCCAAACAAAACATGGAACCCTACACAAGCCCATATCAAGAGGACAGTGGTCTTTCCAGAACCCGTTTGAGGTTGGACATACTGACCTGCAGTGAACCGCCTATAAACCTACAGAACCCTACCAACCCAAATCCTCAACCCTAAACCCCAGACAAAAAGAACACAGACACATTGAACCCTCAATTGCAACTAAACTCCTACTTGGGCAAGTAACCCGAAACCCTAAACCCTAAGCCTAAACCCTAAACCCTAAACGCCAAATCTCAAAGCGTCCTAGGCCTGCACAGCTGGCCCCTAAGCAACCCTAACATCCTAAAACCCCCTATGTAGACTAGGGTTTAGGGCTTATGGTTTAGGGTTTAGGGTTTATAAGGTTTAGGGTTAGGGATTAGGGTCTAGGGTTTAGGGCCCTAAACCCTGCACCCCCAACCTTGGCTGAAACCTTGGCCACCCAAGCCCGGCAACCCACAATTGAACCTGCACTGGAGAGCGACTCGCTGCCACGTGCAGTCTCGCCCACGGCCAGCAGAACTAGAAGGGGCCATAGCCCGCATGCTCTCATGGCTCTAAACCCGACGCGTGACCGAGTCTCTGGGCAGCTTCAAAATTAAAAAGCTCCTTGCTCCTTGAACCAGGCAGCAAGACAGTTTAGGGTTTAGGGTCTAGGGTCGGCGTCGAATTGTGCATTGTCAAACTGGACCATGCTCTCCCAAAAGGATCTAGGGCTGAGGGGGTTTGGGGCTTCAAGCCCACAGAAGAGGTCCCCCCCCCCCCCCCGCCCCGCAAGACAACAAAAGCAAAAGAATCTTGGACCCTAAGGCCAGACATTCTGGAGACCCACCGGATCTGCCAAACCCTAGTTAAACCCTGGCCCTAAACCCTAAACACTGACCCTACAAGGCAGGACAAACAAAAAAAACGCCACGACATCAAGACCTGAACCCCTCCATCCCCATTACTCTCATCAGGCCCACGCCTCTGAAACCCACAAGCATCTCTCCTGATGCCCCCTAGACTGTGGCGGCTACCCACTGCAATGCTCAGTGGCGGAGTGGCTTGTTGCCTAGTGGCTTAGTGTTGCCTTGTGCTTTGAGCCTGGGGGTCTCCCTGATAGTGAGGGCCCTAAACCCCAAACCCTACACCGTAAACCCTAAACTGGAACCCTGAAACGTATACCCTTACATACCCTGGTTCATAGCAAGAAGACTATAGAGTTGGTGGCAGGGTTTAGGGTTTAGGGTTTAGGGTTTAGGGTTTAGGGTTTAGGGTTTAGGGTTTAGGGTTTTCAGGTTTAGGGTTGCTGTTAATTATCCTGAAATCAAGCTCGGCTCCGTTTGAATTATGTGCTCCGATCTGGCCCCGCCCTAACTAGCTCCTAGACAGCATAAGGCAAGCAAAGAGTCTGATTAGGGTTTAGGGTTTAGGGTTTAGGGGTTGGAGTTTAAGGGCTAAGTTGGGCCATATGCGCGGTGGTTGGGCTGGGGAGGGGAAAGAAGGATCTCACAACATAGGCAAAGGTCCGAAATCACGATCGTTGGGGCCGGCCATACAGCAGATACTTTGGGGCCGCAGACCAAGGTGTACCTCCGAGACTTATCATCCCATGCAGGGTTTTGCTAGGAAGTTTCGAGTTTTTGTATGAAAACTAGTAGGTGTAGGAAAGTGATGGGTTCACAGCTGACAGTACAAGCTAAACTGCGCACCGAGACCTCCAAACACGACCATGATGTGTGAAGTGTAGGAGGTTTACGGCCTCGAGGTTTATAGGGTTATAACGGTCTGAGGTTTGGGGTTTTCCGAAACCCTAAACCCTAAACCCTAAACGGTTTGGGGTTTTCCGAAACCCTCCCGCCTCTTGCTCGCTCCTGCGCGCTGTCCCTTCAGCCTTCAAATAAAGCAGGTCTCGCTCAGGGAAGTGCGCCCACAAATCCCCTAAAGACCTTTTTTTTTTGGGGTTTAGGGTTTGGGGTTTGGGGTTTAGGGTTCAGGGTGAATCTTCTCGCATCTGAAGCCTAAGCTCCCACACGTGATTCCGAGCCTGAGCTCGGAACAACGAAGCCCCAACCCTAAACCCCAGGCGCTCTGAAACTACACTGAAAGGCTTCTTCAGGGAGGGGGGTTCAAGGGGGGACTTCCTACTACTCCCTAAGGCTCCCTAAGCTTCCCTGAGGGTCCCTACATACCTACTTCCCCTTGAACCCCCCCCCTTAAGAAGCCTATAAATGGATTCTCCTGTAGGGCCTTTATCCACATAGAAAACTCTGCACAAGCTAATGACAGACAGCTATGCACAAACTAAAGTGAACTACCCGGCGTCACTACAGTCTGTGCTACCCCACTCAATCAGCTTTCTGTAGAAAGGCGTCTCAGCCACAGTAAGTGAGCATTATGGGCAACTTCAGAAAGCTCATTGGGTTTGGCGAGTCGCGCCCGAACCCCATCGTCAGTGATATGCCACTTTCTATTCGCAGGATGCAACAAGAAGGCTCTGTAGTGCCCGCTTTGTAACGAACTTCCAGAATGAACCACCATGCCCAAAATTTGAAAAGAGGCTTGGCTCATTTGAACGCCCTGCGCATCTGCGAGCTTTCTTTCTATTTCTTGCTTTGCACCTCGGTGCGGAGCACTGGTCTGTAACTTTAAGTTCCCGGGCTTTCAAGCCTGTCGTGGCCTAAGCTGGGCGACTCTCGTGGACGCTGCTAGTTAAAGGGCCTTTATCCTAAACCCTTCACCCGGAGCCCTGAACACGAACCCAAGCACCTGAGCCCCTGAACCCTAAGCTCGAACCCTTCAGATCTCAACCCCTCAAACCTGTACAAGCACTAAACCACCCAAAACGAAAATCTAATCACAATAATAATAATAAGAATAATAACAATAATAATCATAATTATAAAAAAGCCACATCCAGCCATGACACGCCACCCTTGCACTGGCTGCCCTTTTATCTCAGTGCTAAACCCTGAGCCCTTACGCAACCCTAAACCTAAACCCTCAACCCGATGTCCTACAAACCCTTCAGCACGCCACTCCCGAAACCATCCATGAATCTGAGCCCTAAACTCCAATTAAACCCTGAGCCCTAAACCCTACACCCGAACCTCTAAGAAACTTTAAGGGCCCCTTCATAGCCCTAAACCCCATAAACCTTAAACTCCATAAACCAAAAACCCTACAATTCAACCCTAAACCCTACACCCGAACCTCTACGAAACTCGAAAGGGCCTCTTCATAGCCCTAAACCGCATCAACCCTATAGTTAAACCCTAAACCCTAAACCCTAAACCCTAAACGCCTAAACCCTAAACCGCAAACCCTAAACCCAGCGCCTGCATCGCTGCAGCGGTTGCCTTCTGATTCTCCTCCCGCAAGGCCTTACGGGACTTTTTTTTGGGGGTTTGAGGGTTTGGGGTTTAGGGTTTAGGGTTTAGGGCCGGGTGTGAGGCTTGGGGTGGTTTAGGGTTTAGGGCTCTAGGGTTGAGGTTTTAAGGGTCTAAGGGCTTTCTGTTTAGGGCTTCGGGTTGAGGGGACTGCGAGGGTCCTAGGGCTTTAGGGTTCAGGGTTCAGGGTTTAGGGCCGTATAGAGGCTTTCATCGGAAATTCGAGAGATCTTTCGGGCTTTCTGCTCAGCGCTTAGACGTTTCAGGCTGAGGGGAACCCGAACCTGGTCAGGTATCGTGGAGGGCATCCGTATCTTGGTGTCGACGACCCTAAGCCCTGACCTCAAACCCTAAACCCCCGAAACCCGCGAAGCCAAAACCCTGAACCTTAAAACCCCAAACCCTGGACCCTGCTACCCTAGAACCCCCCCCCCCCCCCCCCCAAAAAAAAAAAAAAAAAACTAAACCCGAAACCCTAAACCCTAAACCCCAAAGGCCCTAAACGCTAAAGGGCCTGAGCCGAGCCCACGGTACGAACCCCTAAACCCCAAAACGCCTGAAGACCGAAAATCCCCAAAGGACTTCGGGTGTAGGGTTTAGGGTTTAGGGCTTAAACCCCTAAGCCCTATAAACACCCCCCAAACCCCTAAACCCCAAACCTTTTCCAAGCCCCTGCAACCCCAACCGACCCTAAACCGGCAGGTTTGGAGTTCAGAGGATAGGCTACAACCTCAACATCGGGACAGGTACCGACAATTGAGGTACGATTCCTTTCTTCAAGGTATATGGGTTGCTCTAGATAGATGCTAATCCCTATACCCTGGGACGTTCCCCCTTATACTAACAGTCCTTTGTAGGGATTATAATAGGGGGTACAAATGATCGCTATTCAGGACTGTTAGTATAAGAGGAACATCCCAAGCTATGCCCTAAAGTATGCTGTCCTGAGCTTAAGCTTGTTGGGTTGCTCGGGAACACGCGGATGGAATGGGGGATCTAAAGGTAGGGGGGGTAGTGCCCTCCGAAAGGTCCCCTAAACCCTAAACCCTAAACCCTAAACCCTAAACCCTAAACCCTAAACCCTAATATTTTACAAAGGAGAAGAGGAAAGCAAGGGCCTCCCCAGCCTCCACCCTCCCCAGCCTCCCCTCTCCCCTGTCACTTGCCTTGGAAAGAAAGGCATTCAACAACAAAACCCTAAACCCTAAACCCTAAACCCTAAACCCTAAACCCTAAACCCTAAACCCTAAACCCAAAACCCCACACCTTAAACCCGAAGCCGAAACCTTAGACCGTAAACGAATGGCAGCTCCGGCCAGCCTCGACGACTTGCGCATGCTCCTCCTCCTTCGCCTTCTCGTCACAGTGGTGATGTGCAGGCCAAATATTGAAACAGGGTTTAGGGTTTAGGGTTTAGGGTTGAGACTTAGGGTCTAGAGGGATAAGGTGTGACTGCCGTTTGCTCAAGAACCCAACCAAAAAACCCCGCTGTTTTGCCCTGATAAGGAAGAAGAAGTGTTGCACTTTTTTTGGGGGTTCTTAAGCAATTAGTAGGTGATTGAGGGAGGTGATTGAGGGGAATGTGGGAATGTGGCAATGGAATGCATATAACAGCCTGTAGAGCTATGACAACCCTATGAAGATGAACACTCGCTGGGCGCGAGACCATCGGCGCACACTAAACTTTAGGGTTTAGGGTTTAGGGTTTAGGGTTTAGGGTTTAGGGTTTAGGGTTTAGGGTTTAGGGTTTAGGGTTTAGGGTTTAGGGTTTAGGGAACCCTAAACCCTAAACCCTAAACCCTTTTCACAGCCCTAAATCCGAAACCCGAAACCCTAAACCCTAAACCCCAAACCCCAAACCCAGTAGGCAAGCCTTCTGGGCGGTGGCGTGAGCTGCTGTCTGCGCCTGCAATCCGCAACGAGTGGCTTGCAGGGCGTGTACTTGGAGGTTCATGGTACTTCGTAGCTCAATTGTAACTGTACTTATTAAGCCCAATTGTAACCTTAGTAGGGTACTTAAGCTCTCTGGTCTAGCCAACTCCTACGTCTGAGGGCAGCACGAACCTAGAAACAAACTCGAGTTTTCAAAGTGGAAGCTAATTACAAGCAAGCCGCACAATGGGGCACAGCGACGCGGTCCTCCAGGTTCAGCGACGTTTCGCCTGGATACCGTAGCTTGTCCACCACGAGAGTCGTGAGCTGATGCTGCCTCGTCCTCTGCCTCGCATGCATGGCCAGCGGAGCCATTGCCCAGTGACCTCCCGCGTGCGTGTGGCGGCGTGTCAGGGGGCCATGTGCTCGAGGCCCGGTGGCGGTCCACTGTACTCGTTCATTGCCATCGATTGAGCTGGTGGAATGCTGAAGATGGAGCTTCCTGCGCTGGAGGAAACCTCGTCGAAGAGGGAACTGCCGGAGCTGTCATCCCCACTTGCCTCGCGTGCCTGCTCGGCGCTGGTACTTAAGGGCTTAAGTGGGTTGTAACTGTACTCATAACCCAATCATAATGCTATTAGGGTACTTAAGCGGCATATAAGCGGGATGTAGGATGTAACCCCATTAGTGGTTTGTGAGGCTGAAGTTGAGGGTTTGGGGTCTCCAACAAGGGTTAAACGGTTTAACTTCAAGGTTTAGGGTAAATAGGGGCTTAAGGGTTTAGGGTTTGCTTGACAAAGAATCAGAGCTTGTAGATTTAGAGAGTGTACGGGTATGATGGTAAAGATGAGATTCAAGCGAAGGCTTGGTAGGCGAGGTTCAAAAGCTTGGCGGACTTACGGGTTTAGTCAGCCCTGCCCTAGCAAACCTCTAAACACGAACTTTTGAATGCCTGCTTTTAACTCTCAAACCCAAACCCTAAACCCTAAACCCTAAAGCCTGAAGCCTGAAGCCTGAAGCCTGAAGCCTGAAGCCTGAAGCCTGAAGCCTGAAGCCCAATTAAAGCCTAAAGCCTAAGGCCTAAGGCTTCAAGCCTAAAGCCTAAAGCCTAAAGCCTAAAGCCTAAAGCCTAAAGCCTAAAGCCTAAAGCCTAAAGCCTAAAGCTTAAAGCCTAAGCCCGAAGCCAATTAACACCCCAACAGCCGAGCCTCTAAGGCAACCGCAGCCGCAGCTTGGGATTGAATCCGAATGGCCTTTCTGTCGAGAAGGTTTAGGGCTTAGGGTTTAGGGTTTAGGGTTTAGGGTTTAGGGTTTAGGGTCTAGGAAGAGATTCCTCTCGTTAAGAAGGTTGCGCTCTGTGGGTAGCTTTTCGAATTTCGGTCTCCAGGGCTTAGGGTTTAAGGTTTAGGGTGGCGTCTGGGGTGGTAGCCGCAGCCGACCCGACAAAAACGTTATGGTGCCAGCCCAGTAGCTCGGACTTGTTTCGCCTTGGGGGGGGGGGGGGGGGGGGGGGGGGGTTAGGGTTTAGGGTTTAGGGTTTAGGGTTTAGAGTTTAGGGTTTAGGGTTTATAAGGTTTAGGGCAGCCAGTTGATCCGGCTGCCTGTCGTTCACAGTGCCGAAGATTGTCCTTCTGGACCAGCTGGAGTGATGTGATCACTAAACCCTGTAATTCCTAAACCTTACAAGCCCTAAACCCTAAACCTTAAACCCTAAACCTTAAGCCCTAAACCCTAAACCTCCTAACCCTAAACCTCCTAACCCTAAACCTCCTAACCCTAAACCCTAAACCCTAAACCCTAAACCCTAAACACTAAACCCTAAACCCTACCCTCGACCCCAAAAACCTGAACTTCTCCGACCAGCCTCCGTTGCTGCGGCGTGCTCGGCGTCCTTTGCCTGCACCAGGTGCTGGGTTCCGTAAAAGGGTTTTGGGGTTTAGGGTTTAGGGAGGTTTAGGGTTTAGGGTTTAGGGTTTAGGGTTTAGGGTTTAGGGTTTAGGGTTTAAGGTTTAGGGTTTAGGGTTTAGGGTTTAGGGCTAAGAGGTTTAGAGCTTATAAGGGTTTAGGCCGTAGGGAGGGCCAGGCGCCGAATTTTCCACCCACCTCAGCGATGCCCAACCCGAAAGAAGGCACCAAGAAGGCTTCTGTCGGGGAATTTTGGGGGACTTGTTTCGGGGTGGCAGGGACGTGGGGTAGTTCTATACCATCCGTTAACTGTTGTCTAACCCATACTTCATGCTCCCCTACCCTAAACGCTAAACCCCAAACCCAAAACCCTTAAACCCTGAAACCCTTAAACCCTTAAACCCCTAAACCCTTAAACCCTCGAACCCTTGAACCCTTGAACCCTCCCTTAAACGCTGAAACCCTTAAACCCTTAAACCCCTAAGCCCTTAAACCCTTGAACCCTTGAACCCTTAAACCCTTAAACCCTTGAACCCTTAAACCCTTAAACCCTTACACCCTTAAGCCCTTAAACCCTGAACCCACACACACAAACAACCATCAGGAGACTGCAGTCAAGGTGGGAGTTAGTATAAGATCTCAGGAAGCTTGTGGGCTTTGGGTTTTAGGGTTCTAGGTTCTGGGGCTTGGGTTTCGTAAGCTATGGGGTTATAGGGTGTTAGGGTTTTCGGGTTGGTCTTTTCTAGCCCAGGAGTAGCCTACTCTGGGTCCTGGTAGACCTTAACTAAACCCTAAACCCTGAACCCTCAACCCTAAGCCCTAAACCCTTTAACGAACCGGAGCCCGAGTAGCATGGTCACTATATGCTTTACCCTGGACCCCCTACTTCCAGGGGCCCAATCTACACCGAGGCTTAAAACGGGTACCTTGTCCTTGGTCTAAAGGGGCTTACAAGGGAACCTCAATCCTAAGAACAGGAATAGGTACTAGCAGCCTAATTGTTAGGGGCTTAGGACCTGCCATTCAGCCTGAAAACCCGAAAGCCCGGAGCCCCAAACACTGAACCAAGGGCTTGGGATTCTACAACCTAAAGCCCTCAACCGCAAACCCTAAGGTTTAGTTAGGGTTTAGGGTTTAGGGTTTAGGGTTTAGGGTTTAGGGTTTAGGGTTTAGGGTTT